TCATGGAAACTAGCTTGTATAAACCTTAATTAAACAATTTAATAATCAATTAAAAAGGAATTTATACCTGTATGATATTACGCTGTACCCACATTGGACCAGCGGTTTGGAAAATGGATGGAAGGATGAGTCAGCTGCGGGCGCCATTTTCTGTTCAGACGCGGGAATTCCTTCAACCCGACCCTAACAGTGCATTATGGGTATTCTCTAGCCATTGAGCATACATCAGTTGTACACTCGTTATTGCGGTGCATTATAAGTGCACTCCATAATCTCCATTAACGGTTTCAAACACCACCACAAATGGCTGTTTCCTCATATAGTGCCCTATTTAAGGGTATAAGGGGTGATTTCGAACAGCCCTTCAAATCGTAGAAAGAGATTTACTTGGAGTCTGACAATGTGTCAAAATGAACTGAAATGACCTCTGGTGTGACGAGCTAAACTCCATCCACTTGAGAACTGCACGCACAATAATTATAATGCAATCTGAAAAATGCCGTTTATACTGACCTCAGTAACAGTTGGTTGCGGTTGCCAAACACTGCAGCAACTTGGCACTTTACTCTGAATGCATGTCCTGTAGCAGTCTTCCAAAAAGAGTGACTTTGCCTGATAGCTTAACAGGTGAGAGATACAAACAACACAGTAAATTATAGGCTTAGCAGGTGAGAGATGAGAAAAACATGGTAAATTATAGGCAGCATGTTTTGAGACACTGTGATATAATGCAGTGAAGTCGTAGAGGCAGGAAAAAACTATTTGGTGTCATGATTCAATTTTAAATTCATGCCCATAGTTCTCTCTGGCTGAGAAAAACACTTGGTGTGACATTTTTTTTTTTACAAAACTAATATAAAATATAACAACATTTTTTCTTTGGACAGCCAATATTTTTCTTCTGCTGTCTAAAGTTACAATGCCTATTCTAACTCTAGCTGTTGGTTTGGAGTTTGCATGAATAACAAATGCTTAAGAGAATGCAAATGAGACCACGGGCAATAAGTTAGAAAAAATAGTATGACCGAAAGCAATAAAAAGATCTTAAACATTAAAGGGATAGTTCACCCAAAAATGAAACGTTATGTCGTTCCAAATCCATAAGACTTTCGTTTATCTTCGGAACACAAATGAAGATTATTGTTTTGATGAAATCTGAGAGCTTTCTGTCCCTCCATTGACAGCTACGCAACTACCACCTCGACGCTTCAAAAAGTTCAAAAAGAGATCACAAAACTAATCCATATGAATTGAGCGGTTTAGTCCAAATTTTATGAAGAGACTCAATCGCTTTATATGATGAACAGATTGAATTTAGGCTTTTATTTCACATATAAACTTTGATCAAAACGATCTTCATTTGTGTTCCGAAGATGAACGACAGTCTTGGGTTTGGAGCGACATAAAGGTGAGTAATAACATAATTTAATTTTTTTGCGAACTATGCATTTAATGACACATTTAGACACTTTGTTGAAATACATATTTCAAAAAGTTGAATAAAGTGTCTAACTGCTGAAAATAAAGAGCTGGTATTACTTTCCTGTACTTTCCTGTAGCTCAAACAGGAGAGCGTTGACGCTTGCAATCCCAAGGTCATGGGCTCGATTCCCAGGGAAAGCAAGAACTGATAAGAATGTAAATGTGTACCTTGAAATGCAATGTAAGACGCTTTGGATAAAAGTGTCTGCCAAATGCGTAAATGTATTAGGGAGAGCTAGGCTGGTTTTGGTTCTTCTTTTCAGCATTTATAATGTAGACTATAGATATTCATATACATTAAAAAAAATTCTATTATTCCTGACGACTAAGAGAATAACTACAAGTGTAAATACCAATACTAGTATATTAATTACTAAAGCAATGATGATACTTTAATGTGTGCTTTTATTGGAACAGGTTTGACACATGTTTCTTAAACCAAAAGATGGCAGCTGGATTTGTAGTAGCCTGATGGAAGAGTAATGATAAAAAAAAAAAAAAAAGAATATGTTAAAATCGCTCCTGGTCATAGTATGAGGTGTGACAAGAAAAGGAGTCCCAATGGTTTGCCTCTATCAGTCAGTTCTTTTACTAATGACTGTCCTGAGGGGGCAGCTCTCATACGCCGGTGTCCTACATTCAGATACGAGCAAGGGCGAAATCAATACCCCTTACCAGAGATAACATCTCTCACAAACAAGACTTGATTTAAGATTGGAATAAATTCTTTGACATTTCATCAAAGGACCTAAAAATGTCTCTATAAAAGATTACGTTCTTAAAATAAATAATCATTCTCATTTTTAAAAACGATCAAGATTGATTGATTAAGAACCCACAGTGAAATCCTAGCATGTATACGGCCTCTTATTTTAAACTCCTATATGGGCACGCAGTGTTGTTGAGCACAAAATTAATTGGTTTTCATTGACTCAAGTCATTTATATAAACATTTAATTAAACAAATCTTTAGGGTACGGTGATAGCCAGGGGAATTAAGCCTGAATGCTCCGTGCCAGTACAAAAATTCATTATAAATGAAGCATCGAGAGTAAAGAACTACTAATTGCATCGTAAAACTGGGCAGTGGTGATATGCTGCTAATTGCAATAGATTTGTCATAAAGAGAACCAGCATAATAAAGCTCTTGGTTCCGATAAGCGCATGTTGGTATGAACGTTATCGCCCCAAAGCTTCTTAGACCTTTCGACAGGAATTAATCATATAAATAATCATTTAATAATACATACAGTTTTTCATTTACCAATTTACTGTGAGCAAAAACAATACAGATTGTTTTTTTGCACAGTAGTAAATAAATAATCATTATATTAAAACATTATGAATATTTTGCATAATAATCATTATTACTATTATTATTATCATCAGTCAGTGGCATTGCTAGTGCCATGCTCAAATGTGAATACGAATATTGATTAAAAATATCTCTCAGCTATGCCTTCAGAAGACTTGCATTTCTATACAGTAATGAAAAAAAAAAAGATTCACAATTTCTTTTGTGTTCAAAGAAAAACAAAATGAATAGTGGTGTTTCTGGGCTTGTGCTTGGGCCCCAATAGCACAATAAAGTATGACAGACCACAAATAGCAGTTTCCAGATATCCCCATATATGTTTGAGCTTTCCCAGATCTTAGTGTCGCTCATTTAGAGGCTTATTTTGTCAGGCGAGTTGCTTGCTTTTCTAACGAGATTTGATATCGCTGACATGGTTGTTTACTTGTTCTTTTCACAATTGCGATGCAGGACTGAATTATCCGCAAGAAGCTCTCACATCACCACACACGAACCAGTAAATACACCCTAATGGATTTGTTTGAACTACTATGGATGCACAGAAAACTACACCAATCTGATCTCCTCAAACTGAGAGGCGAGGTTTGATTCTCAAGCAGCTTTCAGGACCCCTGCCCATTAGTGTTGTTTACCTTAATGCCACCAGACACATGCCTGACATCAACTTCATTCTTTTCACGTCTACAGACATAAATGGGCTTTCAAACCTGCCCAATTATCATGTCCTGCACGTGGTGTCAAGGGATACAACATTTTTACTCCACATTGCATCAGCTCTCGAATAGCTGCTAGATTCCACAACAGGCATTAACGGCCCTAATTAATTATGTGATGAACTGTATATGTTTTGAATACAGTGTGCAAAACTTCAATCAGAAATGTGAGTTTCAATAGACCTTGTTCAGAGCAGCGCCCTGACAGGTATGAAAGCGAGGCTGTGAAGGATAGACTTTTACTGCGTTTTCAATGGCATCCTCATGTAAAGCTCACTTATTTTTTCACAGCTCGATCATGTTGTCTGGAGTTTTTAGTTTACTGAAATTTCTTAAATAACAGTACAACCCTAAAGAGATGCATTTGTGTCCCTCACATTCTCGCTTTCATTCCAGTTAAAAAACAAAGATGGCGCTGTTGTGAATAAGCTCTGTGTTCATGTTTTTTCCAACATACATTGTAAAATATTAAATGATTAAGAAGTTATGACAACATATGTTTTTACATTGCTTTAACTCATCAAAATGAGTTAAGCAATTTTCAACTTTTTAAAATAAGTTATACAAGATTCAACTTGTTTAAAAGTCAGACTGTAAAGTTGAAATAACTTTCAAGTTGATTGTACTTAAAAAATTAAGCCAATTATTTACCGTGAAGATTGAAAGTTTTGTTAGTTAAATAGTTAATTAACAATAATTATTGGTGTGTTATTGTTTCTTTCACACAGAACCATTGGAATCCTTGTTTCCATAAAACAATAAGAACCTTAAATGTGATCCAAATGACTTTGATTTTACAAGTCTTCTTAATTTATACGATAAATTTGTAGATGACAACTTTTCCTCACACAAAGCGTTCGTATGACTTTAGAAGAATATAGCACGGGAGTAGTATTGACTTTTACAGTGTTTCCTTTATCTTTGAACCTGTACCTTCTTACAGTGCATTATGTTAGGATGTGCATGTTTAATTTTAATGAGCAGTTTGTGCTGTATGAACCTCTAAAAGAGGGAATTCTCAGTGGAACTGATGAAACACTTAAAGACACTCTTAAAATCAGTCCGTTTCATTCCGAGGTAAGATTCACTGAAGCGCTTTAGAGTCAACATCCGACCTTGCCAATGTCCTTTATTAGAGGAAGAAAGGGTTGATTATATTTCTACATGAAACCGATTAGAAGATTATTTTTAGCATTATTATCCATTTATGTCAGGAGGACACTTTATCTAGCAAATCATTGCATTATTATTATTATAATGAAACATTACCATCTCAAATGTCTAGAAATAGAACTTCAGTTATCTATATTTTTTAAGAGTTTGCAGACAATGTGACCGTGAAGGGCACAGGAGGGATATCGGACTATGATTGAGAGTTCAACAAATGTAGCTGTTCATCATTGTAAATGTACTTATTTATTTGTTAGCTGAAATCTTACATAGATAATTAGAAAAAAATGGACATTTTACAAAGTGAAAATCTAACACTGCACCTTCAAAACTTTCTGAAACTTTATATAGCAATCCTTAGATGGTACAGCTTACAGTGTAATAGACAGAATTAGCAATATATGTACAAAAAAGGAAAGAAAAGAAAAGAAAAAAAAGACATTTTTCATTCCAAGCTTCTGTTTCTCTAAAGATAAGAGCAAAGCTGACAGATCATTGAAACACAGAAAGCTTTGAAAACAAACCAGGGTATTGAACATCGTTTTTCACTGGAAACCATTGTGCTTTAAAGGTTTATGCCATAATGACAAATACATAGAGACACAAATTCCCTTTTAAATGTTTGGCTGCTTTTGTAAACAAATTGGAATGCAGTCCTGCTGTTTCTTGGGTTTTTACTTAAAGAAATCTGCCAGAAGAACAACAAGTTGGGAAACTGAGACAAGGCAAGAACTTCTTGACATATCTGGCTCCCAGCCACATCTAGACCAGCCATTTCAAATGCTTCCACGGTATCAGGGTTGTCTTTGCTCGGATATGTTTTTCTGTAGAAATGTTTGGGGGTTTTGCAGTGTCCCCACAAACCCAATTGGTGGAGCTTTTGAAAGGATGCATGCTGGGTATGAGAGCTGAGCTGACCATCCTCAAAGACATTTGTTCAGAGAATCTCAGGATGCAGCAGTGCTTGGAAACATCAGGATAACATACAATTGTTCCTGAAAGCTCAAAATGCTCATCCAACAATAAAGGATTGGCTGGTGAGACCATGGGATTCGACTCACTTTCTGTCAGGGAAAACGAAAAGCAGCTTTAAGGGATCTCTTACAAAAAATAAAATACTTAAAGTTCATTTTATTAAGTAAAGTTCAAGTATATTTATCTAAGTAAGTATAATATCAATGTACTAGGACTATACGTATGTGTACTATTTCAATACTACTTGGGACTAAATTGGCCCACTTTTTAGTGTATAAAAGTATAAGTGTAACAGTAAACTTTGAGTACACAACTAGTTTACAACTAAGTTTTAATTTGTACTCTACACGTGACAACTTATAAGTATACTGATAGTTTACTAATCAAATACTTGTAGCACACAATGGACACTAGTATCTTCACAAAAAATAAAAAATAAAAATAAACAGAAATAAATAAAAGTTTCTTCTATTTGAAGGAGATTAAATTATGATTTTACAGTACCAATAATTGTAGTAATTTTGGTTGATACTAAGGTAAGAGTAACACAGTAGTAAGTTATTTTATAAATAGTAAGTAATTTTTTTACCCTACACTCTAAAAAAATGCTGGGTTGTTTCAACCCAAAGTTGGGTTAAATATGGACAAACCCAAATGTTGGGTTAAAAATGTAATTAAAAAAATGTACAGTTGAAAGTGAAAGTTGAAGTTGGGTTAAAATTTGAAAATACATTTTTTAACCCAACATTTGGGTTTGTCCATATTTGACCCAAATTTGGGTTGAATCAACCCAGCATTTTTTAGAGTGTAATAATTGCTTACCATTTTAATGGTATTGTTCATATTCAGCTTTGTTTTCCAATGCATAAAAATGACATACAAGACAAATCTTACAAGAAAAGTAGTGTTTGATATTTGCAAATGTTATTTACACACAAATACACTCTACAAAATGCTGGGTTGTTTTAACCCAAATTTGGGTCAAATATGGACAAACCCAAATGTTGGGTTAAAAATGTAATTAAAAAATGTACAGTTGAAAGTGAAAGTTGAAGTTGGGTTAAAATTTTAAATGACATTTTTAACCCAACATTTGGGTTTGTCCATATTTGACCCAAATTTGGGTTAAAACAACCCAGCATTGTTTAGAGTGTACATTCACATTTCTAGAGGGTAAACATGATAAAAACAAACAAAACACAAACTTGAATATATTGTGTTATACTTATCATATTCAATGGGTCACATTTTTGCGATGCTCTTCCAGAATAGTGGCACACCTACATTTCTGACAGGTTGAACACCAAGCTTTAGTGTTTTATGTTGAAAGGGGCAGATCAGAGCAGTCTTCCTTTGCACCGCATTGAGTCACAGCAGCAGAGCATAACCTTCTCCTCCACACTGCCCACCTCATAGTTATAATCCCACATCAACTCCGTGCCTGCCTTGATGTGCCTGATAAAGAGAGAAGGAAAAACAGGATACAAACACATTAAGATTCCTGTCTAGGAGGCAGTTGATACATGGCTAAGGGGCTGTTCACACGGAATGTGTTTAACCATTGCACCGCTTTCCTTTGTCATAGTTTATGGACGTGTTGCTGCACACGAGTTTTGCGTCTTCTGCAGCGTCTCGTGCATTTGAGGCCGCATCTTTCCATTCCACTGTGCTACATTTCCAATGTTTTTAGAATAACATTTTGCAACGTGACAGCGTTCTAAAAACGCATCTCTAGACCTTCCGTTTTTCTGTTCCATCTCCGTCTCGTGATTTTAACTGCACTCTGTATCAGGGCTTAAAAATCGGTAAAAAAAATCAAATGATTCACAGAATCAGTATTTTAACGTTTCTGTTCATGCGTTCATTCTGTAATATTACAGTTCCAAAACCGGTTTGATTAGAAAACAAATACCATTAACAGCAATTAAACTTGATTTCATTGTTCCTGTTCAAATTTTGTTAGTTTGAATGGCCCCTGACATGGAATTCTAAAAACACTGCACTCAAGTCAAAAATAGTTGATCATTTTTAAAAACACACGCTATGGTGGACGCATTTGACCGTTACGCGTTCTGTGTGAACCAGCCCTGAGAGACCATTCACACAGAAAGCATTTTTCCATGGACGAGTTTCACCGCTGCGCACGTGCCTCGCGGCGTCTCACGCATGACACGCATTCTAAAAACATGCCGCTCAAGTTAAAAGATTATCAACTTTTGAAAAACCATTCTTCATTCTACTGACCTGCGTTTCACGTTTTTAATTGCAACATAACTAAATCAAACAAAGGTTCATGAGAGCACCACGTCGGAGACTGATACGGAAGAGAAGAAATTGTTGAATAAAGTCGTTATTTAATTTTTTTGGCGCACAAAAAGTCGCTTCATAAAATTAAGGTTGAACCACTGTAGTCACATGGAATATTTTAACAATGTCTTTCTTGCCTTTCTGGGCCTTCAAAGTGTTAATTAAATAGCTGTCAATGGAGCCCCCCCTGAGCCATCGGATTTCATAAAAAAATATCTTAATTTGTGTTCCGAAGATGAACACCGGTCTCACGGGTTTGGAACGACATGAGGGTGAGTAAATAATGACAGAACTTTTATTTTTGGGTGAACTATCCCTTTAAGAGAAAGTAAACAGATTTGATGTCAAAATTAATAATGATTGCAATATACAGGTGAAACTCGAAAAAATTAGAATATTGTTCAAAAGTTCATTTATTTTATTAATTCAACTTAAAAAGGGAAATTAATACATTATATAGACTCTATTACATGCAAAGTGAGATATTTCACGCCTTTATTTGTTGTAATTTTGATGATTATGACTTATAGCTTATGAAAACCCCAAATTCAAAATTAGAATATTGTGAAAAGGTTTTCATAAGCTCTAAGTCATAACCAACAAAACTATAACAAATAAAGGCGTGAAATATCTCACTCTGCATGTAATGAGTCTATATAATGTATTAATTTCACCTTTTAAGTTGAATTACTGAAATAAATTAACTTTTGCACGATATTCTAATTTTTTGAGTTTCACCTGTGCCATATCTGAACACCGGCACGTCTAGTTGGGAATGTTCATACATTCGTTTTCTTTGGAGCGGTATGTTGCGATTTCTCTATCTTGATATTTACAATGTGTTCCAACAGGTCTGAGTCTTTATAAACCCAATCTTTGTGCTCGTCTTTCTGAAAACAACAACAACATCACATTTATCAGCATCAAAATTGCAGGCTTTGGTATTACAGTGATGTCTAAAAATCAATGTGGTATAAATGATATAATACTATAAAATTCCCCAACACATTTATCTCCAAGATCAGAATCTCCTAAAATCTGTCAGTGGGGCTTGTCAAGCGAGTTGTCTGTGCTTCTGGGAGAAAATTTATGAAATGCACTTTAGAATATGAAATATGCTGCGACATTCTCACGAAGTACCCACTGACTTTTATGTACCTTTGCATAAAGGCACTAAATTGTAAGATTCAGATGAAATGTTACAATCAGGTTTACGGAAATAAAACTAGCAGACCACAACAGACTCAGATTTACCTTATAGCAGATCTGGATCAGGCTACGATCCAACTGAACCACCGTGCAGGCCTCAAATTTGCCATTTCGCATCGCCTCGGAGTCTTGCCCCATGCCAAGCAACACATAGTCAAGAGGGTTGGGATAGACACAACACAAACAAATTCCTTCACCTGCAACTGCAACCGATATGTCTCATCCTCGATGTCCCACCACACCTTTTTCACTGCATAGAAAACAAACGTTAACAAATGTCACTTCTAGAAGTCAAGCAGCTTTGGGAGTTTTAAACTAAGACTGAAATGGAGTATGAAAGAGAATCTCTTACATTGTTTGCAGACAACATGAAAGTCTGGCAGTGCCACATACGCTGCCCAGCCATCATCATAAAACATCAAGACCCTTACAGAAACATTTAGTAAAACTGCAACAGTTACAATATGACGTCACACCTTGCGCGTATGTGTGTGTTTTTTTACATAATAAATAACACTTTTTTAATAGCCAACTTAAAAGTTTAAGTAAAACTAGGGCGATTACGTCAAAGGATTACTATGAAAAAGATGCAAGAAGTTTCAACGTTTCCAAAATGATTATATAATATGAAAACAGATTCGGTAATGGGCTTGTCACATTGGCAGGCTACAAATTAATTTTTTGAAAAATGCTACAAAAGTGGCCGTAGTGAGGTGCGGAAATGATGCGGAAATGATGTGGTGAGGTGCGGAAATGATGTGGTGAGGTGCGGAAATGATGTGGTGAGGTGCGGAAATGTGAGTAAATGTAAATTATGCCAGAATTGATATTTTTGGTTATATCCAAAATCCCTTTAACTGAAATAAGTTTAACTGCACTGCATTAGAAAAGAACAATGTTTCAATTGATATATTAGTCCTTCTAATAATAGTCGAATACAATTAGTTTCATTTTTTTTTACCCTATACACGTAGATAAACTGTAATAATCACAAATGTAATATTGATTATAAAATATCCTGAAATTATTGCTTATACATAAAGTATTAGTTCACTTAAAAATAGAAATTCTGTCATGATTTACTTACCCCTACGTCTTTCCAAACCCATAAGACTCTTGTTCACCTTTAAAACACAAAATAAGATATTTTTAATGAAACCTGATATTTTGGTCCCACCACTGAAAGTTCCACCAAAACTTTGACATTTCAAAAACTATATAAAGACGTATAGTAAAAGAAATCCATATGAAGTGAGAGGTTTAATCCAAGTCTAGTGAAGAGACACAATCGTTTTAAATGAACATATTTAATTTAGGCTTTTATTCATAAATCAAAAACCCTTGATCAGGGCACAGTATACATAACACATTAACGTAAATGGAAGCTCAAACATGATTGCTTGACACACAAGAACCAGTGAGATTTGTTGAGTTACACAATCACGTTTGAGCTTCTGCAACCAACAAAGTTTGTTATCGTCCTTCAAGCAAGCACAGTCCTCTTACAGTAGGTCAATCCTACAGAAGAGATAGATGTCTCATAACTTCTAGAAGAAGTTCCAGAAGCATTCAGATGCATCTTTGACTGATATCTGTCTTCTCTCTGTGTCTTCTTCAGTGGGAGAGTCACATTAAGAGATGAAATCTCCCTCTTGATGGGACAGAGGAAGAGAAGGATGACCCAGCAATGATATCTTGACTTAAGTATGAGCGATCGCTGACTCTGGTCCACGTGTATTCCTGAGAACAGCGAGATTACTCCACATGATCTTCCAGAGCCGGATTCATGGCACACATTTGTCTTTATTCTCCGTCTTTAACCCTGCAGAGTTCACTTACATGGAGAGGAAGGTCTTGGTATAAAAACAGCTGTGAAATGTTAATGGGTACGCTGCTCTTAGAAAGAGAGCAGATGTGCTTTCTGCTATGAAAACATGACCTTATTAACACCCAATTTCCAAGTTAACCTCTGAAATATGAGGTGCTCAGTCTAAGTCTAAGTGAAGAACACAAGCTTTTGTGTCAAATCCCATTGGGTTTGATCATGTGGTGTTAGGGAGTAACAAACTAAAAAAGCAATGCTGTTAACTACATTTTTCAGAGGCTTAGATGTTTTCAAAACACTCTAGTTTTCCAAATAAAAGGTGCGTTATATATATATATATATATATATATATATATATATATATATACTCACCTAAAGGATTATTAGGAACACCATACTAATACTGTGTTTGACCCCCTTTCACCTTCAGAACTGCCTTAATTCTACGTGGCATTGATTCAACAAGGTGCTGAAAGCATTCTTTAGAAATGTTGGCCCATATTGATAGGATAGCATCTTGCAGTTGATGGAGATTTGTGGGATGCACATCCAGGGCACGAAGCTCCCGTTCCACCATATCCCAAAGATGCTCTATTGGGTTGTGATCTGGTGACTGTGGGGGCCATTTTAGCACAGTGAACTCATTGTCATGTTCAAGAAACCAATTTGAAATGATTCGAGCTTTGTGACATGGTGCATTATCCTGCTGGAAGTAGCCATCAGAGGATGGGTACATGGTGGCCATAAAGGGATGGACATGGTCAGAAACAATGCTCAGGTAGGCCGTGGCATTTAAACGATGCCCAATTGGCACTAAGGGGCCTAAAGTGTGCCAAGAAAACATCCCCCACACCATTACACCACCACCACCAGCCTGCACAGTGGTAACAAGGCATGATGGATCCATGTTCTCATTCTGTTTACGCCAAATTCTGACTCTACCATCTGAATGTCTCAACAGAAATCGAGACCCATCAGACCAGGCAACATTTTTCCAGTCTTCAACTGTCCAATTTTGGTGAGCTCTTGCAAATTGTAGCCTCTTTTTCCTATTTGTAGTGGAGATGAGTGGTACCCGGTGGGGTCTTCTGCTGTTGTAGCCCATCCGCCTCAAGGTTGTGTGTGTTGTGGCTTCACAAATGCTTTGCTGCATACCATTATTTTAGTCAAAGTTGCTCTTCTATCAGCTTGAATCAGTCGGCCCATTCTCCTCTGACCTCTAGCATCAACAAGGCATTTTCGCCCACAGGACTGCCGCATACTATATGTTTTTCCCTTTTCACACCAGTCTTTGTAAACCCTAGAAATGGTTGTGCGTGAAAATCCCAGTAACTGAGCAGATTGTGAAATACTCAGACCGGCCCGTCTGGCACCAATAACCATGCCACGCTCAAAATTGCTTAAATCACCTTTCTTTCCCATTCTGACATTCAGTTTGGAGTTCAGGAGATTGTCTTGACCAGGACCACACCCCTAAATGCATTGAAGCAACTGCCATGTGATTGGTTGATTAGATAATTGCATTAATGAGTTCCTAATAATCCTTTAGGTGAGTATATATATATCAACACACACACAAATATATATATATATATATATATATATATATATATATATATATATATATATATATATATATATATATATATCAGTGTTAAAATGTCACTTAAAATTGAAAAAAAAAACCTAGACAAAGTCAGATTCATCTAGTGAATCGGTTCATTCAGACTGTTCACTTGTTGTCACTGTTTGACATGAATACTTTTCACTTGTGCATCTGTGTATATTCATATCAACAGCCATACAACTACAAAAGCAAATGTAGGCTGTTTCACAAATTTTGTGATTGTTTTTCATTTTGTTCACATTGTGAATCTACATGAACAAGAAATGTTTGAACAAATCAATTCACAAAAAGAAATCACTGAGACCCTGAGACATTTTAGATATTTTTTAAACCAAAATATTTAGTTAAACACTATTGTTAATCTCTGTTTTCTGTTCAAATTCAATAATAAAAAAAATAGACTCACTGTTATATATTAAACAAGATATTGCATCCTTAAAAGAAAATGACAATTCCATAATTAATTACTCACCCGTTTACTCATGTCGTTCCAAACCTGTATGATTATTCAATTCAATTAAATTCATATTTATTTGTATAGCGCTTTTCACAATACATATCGTTCGTTTCAAAGCAGCTTTACAGAAAATGCATGTATATTACAATTTAGTGATCTGTTATCAGAGGTGGCTTTGTCCAAGTGATGCGTTTCAGAAATGTACATATACAAATCATGCAATTAGCTAACAATGTATAATTTGAGGCAGAAACAATGAGCTCATTGAAGTAATTATTACGAGTTGTGGACATAATGATTACAGTAAAGTATATGGAAAATGTTGCATTGGTGCATATTGAATCAGAGTTAGCGTCGTCTGAAGTCCTCGCAGGAGTTGGGAGTCGTCTCTTCACAGGTGTTCTGGGGCATCTGAACTGGAGCTGACTATTTATTCTGTGAAACACACAAGAAGAATCAAAGTCAATGTGGTCCAGCATTGTTTTGGACCCTTTTAACCATCATTGTATGGACAAAAACAGTTGAAACATTCTTAAAAATATCTTATTCTGTTTTCATAGAAGAAAGAAAGCCGTGAAGGTTTAGAATGAAAAGTAAATTATGACAAATGACGATCTTGAGGTGAACTAACTACTAAATGTACTAAATGTAACATAATTAGCTACTTTTCATTATAGCTTGAATACTTTTTTTTAAAGAACAGCTTGACGTTAAAGGGTAACTAAACCCTAAAACTACTTTTTTTTAGTTAATGATCTGTAAGACTGGGGCTTTATTAATGCTGTTCATTGATTCAAGTAATTTTTTTGACATTTGGGTATGAAGTGTTTTAATTCAACAATATATGGTGTAAAAACAACACATTCTCATCCAAAGGCGTCATCTAACTGACACTTTTGAACATGCGTCAACATGCCGACGCACATGGTACCCTTTAAGCGTCAATATGAGACACTCATCCTCGGGCGTCATCTAACTGACGCTTTTGACCATGCGTCTAAATTAATCAGTTAAATGACTCTTCCGTTATGGGTAGGTTTAGGTCTGGGGTAGGGTTAGGGTTAGACCACTAGGAGGCGCGTCTCATATTGACGCTTAAGGGGTACCATGTGCGTCGGCATGTTGACGCATGGTCAAAAGCGTCAGTTAGATGACGCCTTGGGATGAGAACGGGCTGGTAAAAACGTCTGAGTGCTGCCCTCTTCAGGTTGAAGGGTGGCTACTGTAGTTGAATTTTCCTATTGGAAGTTGTGGTGCCCTGTG